CTCCTCTGACTCCAGTTTCAATGCAGCGTGCGCTGAAAACAAGTCACAAAGGAGACACCTCCACCCCCCAATACTGTCTGCCTAACTTAGGGTGGGAACTGGCCCATGCTGCAAACACCTCTTAAAATAACAGTTCAGGTAAGACCAACTGTCATTTTCCAGAGTGGGTTTGCAGGATGGTCCAGAGATGGGACATAACCAAGTTTTGTCCCAAGGGTGGGCCCTCACTGATCCGACAGGACCTGTTGCAGGACCATGCGGCCGAACGCCACGTCGGAAGATGCGAAGGCATCCAGCCTGTAGTGCCGGATGAAGGGCGATGGGGATGCCCACATCGCGGCCCTACAGATGTCTTCTATAGGGGCCTGGGAGGCCCTAGTGGAGTGGGCTGTGATACCGGCCGGAACCAGCAAGTTCTGCACCTCATAGGCAAGGGCAATGGCCAGACGGATCCACCAGCTAATGGTGGATGGGGAGACCCCCTCCCCTAGTGACAAGGGTTGGAATGACACAAACAAAGCCTCAGTCCTACGAAACTCTGCTGTCCACCTTAGGTAAATCCATAAGGCACTTTTTACATCTAAATGGTGCCAACTGTGTTCCCGCTCCCTGGTCGGGTCTGGGCAGAAGTCCGAAAGAACCACATCCTGCGCCTGGTGAAAGTCTCTGTTTACCTTTGGCAGGAAAGCCGGGTCCAGGCATAGCACTACCCTGTTATTGTGAAGCTTTGACCCCTCCGTTCTCCAAGCTGGGAACCGAGAGAAGAACTGCAGCAGCTGAGCATTGGATGGAGTGGCGAACAGGTCCACCACTGGTCTCCCGAATCTCTGGCAGATCCTCTGGAAGAGCTACTTGGACAAACTCCACTCTCCGTTGTCTACCGTCTCCCAGCTCAGCCAGTCCACCTGATGGTTGTTGATGCCGGTGATGTGTTCCGCTCGGATGGAGTGCAGGTGTTTCTCCGCCCAGTATCCCAGCAACATCGCCTTGGTGTGCAACGCCCTGGATCATGTGCCCCCCTGTCAATTTATGTGCTCCTTTGCTGCAACATTGTCAGTTAAGACAAGGACGTGATGGGGAGGAAGGCGGAGCTTAGCAGTGAGAAGACGGACTTTCAGGCTACTCCTGAAACTCCTCTATTCCGAAGCATTTGGACGGTCCCTTTTTGGACCCAAGCTGTCCCNCTCGGGGAATAGGGCGGCATACAAGTTCAATAAAACTAAACTAAAACTAAACTAAACACTGGGTCAATACATTGTACAGTGCCACTTGGGATAGAGATATAGAACTGGGTATCATCAGCATTGTGGTTTTGTCATAACCTCAACTTCTGGATGACATAACCCAGTGGCTTCATATAGATATTGAATATGAGAGGAGAGAGCATCGAGTCCTGAGGCACCTTGCATGTGAGGAGCTACGGACATGATCAATCTCTCTCTCTGTCAACACCAATTAGAACTGACCACTAAGGAAACAGTGAACCACTAAATCACAGTGCCTCCCACTCCCTAACCCCCACAACCAGTTCATAAGGATACTGTGGTTGACATTATCAGTTACAATTTCATGTAAGGAGTCAACATAAATGTAACATAAACTGTACTAATGGTACATTTAATTGCTAGAAATTCATTGGAGAAATGCTGGAAAGTTGGGAAGCTGCCAACAGCTGAGTGCTGACCCAACAGTCTCGGTGAACTTGAAATGACTATGCTCTACATAATACACACTCACACACATACATGCACACAAGTTGTGTGTGTATGTACATGTGTTCATATAATGGAAATCAGGTACTATTCTATCCAACCATCATTTAGGGTATTTTCAAAATTTGCCTTCACTTATTTTAAAAAAATGAATAAAGAGAAAACAAAAAACTGTCAAGAAAAAGAAAACAATAAGTGTGCATGTATGTGTGTCTTTGTGAGTATAGGCTTCTCACACATACTGTATATGAGATGTGATACTTAAAAATTAAATTTCAACAGTGTAAAATTGCAATACTGATACTTTGAATAGGGAGTCATATAACATCTGCGTAATGAACTATTGGTTGCTGGAAAAACCATCAAAACTATTATCATAGTACATGCATCTTTTAATTTCATCAGAGAGTAAAGTATTGGTTGCTTCCAATAATAAGCAATAATCTCACTCCTATCTCCAAATCTTTAAAAACTTTTCTATATTATCCCACCCACCCGTGATGGCGAACCTATGGCACGCGGAGCCATGCTTGAGGGCACACGAGGCGTTGCCCTATGTCAGTTCTAGCATGCATGTGCATGCCAGCTTGCTGGTTTTCAGCCTTCCGGAGGAAGTTTCTGAACTTCCGGTAGGCCTGTTGGCCCATTTTTTGCCATCCACAGGCTCTGGAGCCTGGGGAGGGCGAAAAATGGCCCAACGGGTCTACAAGAAATCCAGAGGCTTCAGTGAGGCTTGCATGCATGTGGGGAGGGGCAGGAGTGTTATGTGCACATGCGCGGGGGAGGGCATTGCATTAAGGATGTGGGTATGCCCGCACATGCACCCTTTTGGCATCCAAGCAGAAGAAGGTTCACCATCATTGCCATATACAATATATCACTCTTTGTACAGTATAAACTGACAGATGAATGTGAATGTAAGCCAAAGGTGTGAAAAACATTCATGCTTCTAGTTCAAAAGGTTCATTTGAAGTTCAGAGCAGAGCCTTTGATTTTCAAGCAAGATACACTGACCACTCCAGAAGTGCTTTGGGTTTGAGTTCAAACACCTTTTTTGAGCTCTGAATATTTCTATCATAGTCAGAGCACCCACCTATTGGGTCCATGTGTTTGGGGGCTGGAAATATTTTGTGCAGTTCTAAATATAAGCATGCACATTCAAACATTTCACCCCCTAATATAATTTTTTTTCTTTATACATTCAGAGGTAAGAGTTTAGGCTACATTGCAATTTTGGAAATGTTTGCAACTTTTGCATTAAATTATAAATGTGGGATGAAGGCGTTCTGTATTTCCTACATTAAAATGTCAACTGCCATATTGTTTAACATTTAATTATTAATTATCAATCCTGCAAGAGATTGGAAAAGACAATAATGCTCCTGGGTTGTCTTTTTTAACTTTATAGAAATGAAAAGTAAATTGATCTATGAAAGCATAAAGGAAAATGTACTTCACAAGAAAAGTCTCACTTTTTAAAATCATACAAATACATTTCTTCCAATCCTAAGAAATTAGTTATTCAGATGTGAAAAATGAAATTTTATTGCTTTCAAAATTATTTCATGAGGCACACCTCTTATTATGTAACATGGTACAACATCAGCACAGAGCTTCTTTATTATGACTTTCATGTTAAAGTATATAATTTGAGATGATTTATATCTTACAGTCTTGGAATTTAAAATCTAAAAGAGTGATAGGGGAGGTATATCCACATAAAAGAAGAAAGCCTGTATTCCACTGAAATTATTTGAAAAAGCTCAATGATTTTTTAAACTTCTTGACAAGAGATTACAATCTTGTGCATTTTTGTCTCAAATAATAACTAATGTTAACTTACCAGTTTAATTGCCACATATTCATTAGTATACAAATTTTTTCCTTAAAAAAATGAAAAACAGGAATGTTAGAATTTATAACTCTCTATATATAAGTAAATTCAAATTATCTTCATTGAAAGTATAGCAAAAAACATAAACACATTTAATAGCTTAAGCAAAACTGATATGCATTAGTTTACAAATCAAAAACACTAATATAACTCAGTCTTCTGCTTTATGTTATTATTTCAATGTCTGAACATCATTTTAATATTTTACCTGTGCTCATAGTAGCTAACAATTTAATACATTCAAATGTTGCCTTATAGTTAAAAAACAGCAATGCATACTTTAAAACATTGTTTTTAATTCTCACTTTTCTTCCATAATGCACAAACGACCCAATCTCTTCTCCTTGTTTCAGAATTATTTGGAAGCTTGAAAATACGGATATTAGGATTTGTAGGAATGAGTGAAAGGGGGGCATGGGTGAAGAATTCTCCCATTATGTCAATGGAAAAACAAGCCACAGCAGATATATCATCAAAATGTACAGTATTGCACAAAAGTCCTAGGCCACCACCCACTTTGTTTTAATGAATTTTTCAGTATTAAGATTCAAATGGAAAATACAGGAAATATGTACACAAAATTTAAACAAACAACAGTTTTCAGAACAAAATGGTTACTTCGGGCAAAAAGTCAATATTTAGTGTGACCTCCCTTGGCTCTAAGCACATCTTGAACTCTTTTGGGAGATTATCCTGAGGTTTTCTGAGGTAATCTTCTAGTATATTATACCTGGCTTCTTTCAGCATTTCCCAGGGTTCTCCTTTAGATTCAGGTTTTCTTTTATTTGTTTCTCTGTTCAGGTGTTCCCATATTGTCCCTATAATATTTAGCAAGCTGTTTTCCTTATTAAATATGATTTAACTGTAGTAGCAGTGTACTTGTGTTCATTATCATGCTGAAAAATGACAGTTGGTCTTACCTGAACTGCTATTTTAAGAGGTGTTTGCAGGATGGGCCAGAGGTGGTATTATCACAGCCAATTGGCCTCGAGACTTGGTTGAAGCTGAAGCCACACCTCTGGGCTCCTCTCCTCTGACTCCAGTTTCAATGCAGTATGCACTCCCAAGATCCTGAAAACAAGTCACAAAGGAGACACCTCCACCCCCAATACTGTCTATCTAACTGTGGGAACTGGCCCATGCTGCAAACACCTCTTAAAATAGCAGTTCAGGTAAGACCAACTGTCATTTTCCAGAGTGGGTTTGCAGGATGGTCCAGAGATGGAACATACCCAAGTTTATTCCCAAGAGTGGGCCCTCACTGATCCAA